TGTGATACACACTGTATATAATTTGATTGTAATATTAATAATAGCTATCTATATCTATACTATATTATAAAACATTTGACAAAAACTCTTAAAAACCATTTTTATGTATGAAATATTGTATATTAATGCATATTACTTAAAATTCAATATTACAAATAGATTTTGCATAAGTACAACTTATTAAAACTTCATATTTGAATTCGTGTAACTAACTGCAGATAAACATAATCAAATAGAGAATAAACATCTCATTTTAAATAAAAAAATTAAAATATAATTAGAATAATCATTGAGTTCTAACAAAATACTTAATTATTATCTTTATAAAAAATTATATTATTAAACCAAAAAAATGAATTAAAGAAATACACAAAAAAGATAAATTATAAAGTCATTTTGGTACTAATATCAATATTTTTTTTTAGTTTTTTATAACATCGACCAAGATAAAAAATAAATAAAACGAAACATTAAAATTGAGATGTATCTCACTGTATTATGCGAGTACCTTTATAATAAAATATAAATTTTATTCTAATTTGGGTGGTGTTTGGGCTTTGTTAGGCTGTTCTGAGTCCAATAGCTCAATACTTGGACTGGGTTGTATGTTTCTGACCCAGTTTTTCAAGATGATTAATTTAAACTATCTTTACTACATTTTTTTTGTAAGGGTGTCCAGGCCAAAGCCCGACTAATTCCCTGCAAATTTGGAGGCTAAACATGGCCCCACTTAAATGTCGCCAACACTCCCCTCCCATGGCTCAAACTCGGGTTCATGACTATGCCATGTCCAAGCCTTTACCACTAGGCTGGAAGGTCTTTGACTATCTTTACTACATTAATGTGCATTTAGATCAAAAGTCTTAATTATAAGTTTCAAAGCATAAAATACTATCAATTTATGCAAGAGATTCAAAAATCTCTTAAGTACAAACTATTGTGCATAATGTACAAATGCTTAAAACATACCATTTGTTTTGTCAAAGTTTCAGATTTAAGTAAGTCATATTTACATGAAAAATGTATGTTTGGTCTTCATAAAATTGTTTGACACTTTGTTTGTTTCCTATTTTGAACCCAAATTCAAATTCAAAGTTCTTCTTTCTCTCGAAGTAAACTGAAATTTGAAACAACAATATCAGAAATTGTTTCAGATCCTGCATGTATTCCACCCCAACCCTTCAACTTTATATGGGTTTAGAAACTCAACATATGTGCAATTATTTTTATACACCATATTAGCCTTCAACTTTATATATTAGTTGACCTATAAAATAACCACATGTAGTCACGATTCAAAGCTAAACTAATATTTTAGAATTGTGATTCACTCGTGCTGCATCGCACATGTACACCACTAGTATTATTTATAGACACGCACTTATCTCATAGTCATAGATACAACAAATATAAATATACAAATTCTTATGTTATTTGTTGATCATTTTGTATACACTTTTTAATAAATATAAAGCATCTTAATTAGCATTTGAATGAACAAATACATAGAGTTTTAAATGGGATGACAAATGAGAGTCAAGCTTCAAGCTTTTGGAGTCATATTTAGGCTACGACGTTTTTTAAAACGTGACTTACAACAAGAATAATGCCTTACAAACACTATGTCTCGAGCCATGTAGTGCAACAAGTGGCTAGCTGGCTGCAACGCTGACCCTTTTTAAACAATGTAGACACAAAGCAATTTACGACTTATGGTTATTATAAATCATGTCAATATCACAAGTATCTGACACATGATCATATAACAAATAAAACAAAACAACATTTTAGATATTTAAATACGACAATAAGTTCTTGATCATGTATTATGACAATATCCGATGTATGTTTGGTTAAAATTGGTTTTGATTATGATATCATATGATCATTCATAATCAGTATACAAAACCAAGAAAAGAAAACCGTTTATTTATATGATCATAAATTACGTTCTTATTCGCATGTTTTAATACCATAATTTTATTATTGTTATTATTATTTTTTTAAAGACAGATTGTAGTTCTGTAAACTGTAATATTCATTTTGAAAACACATCTTTTAACAATGCTAGACCTTATTATAAAATGATTAATAAGAGACTCTCACCTTTAGGGATTGTTAGGCAGTTGCTGAATAGTATGATGCAGAATGATTAAAAGACTCTCAATGACATAGTGCGAAATGAAATAACATTGTTTGGTAATTATTTACAACGAAATTAGCGCGCTGAATGGTTAAGGGAGACCTATGATTCAAAATCATTCAGATGGTTTTAGAACCATTAAGAGACAAAAAAAAATTTGTCAAACAAGATTCACCTCTTAACGATTCAGAGACTGCCTCTTAATGGAATTATTAAGAGGTAAACAAACAACCCCTTAGTCACATACCCTATAAAAAGGGTATAAATAGAATTCACATTTTTTTATTAACTTGAAAAGCTATATCATGTCGAAACATTTATCATTAAGTCATCGATTGATGCCTCATGCCGACACAAAACTTCGTCACAAAGCCATTGTAAACATCAACCATATTTGAAGAAGACTGAACTAAACTTAAATGTTAAATTTAAAACTTATCGACAACATCCCTAAAATTAGAACCTAATTAACAACTAACTACACAACAACCACCAGCTCCACAAGACTATGACTATTGAATAAAAAGAAACCAACTTTAAATTGACTAGGAGGGTATTCGTGCAATGCAGCGAGATACATCTCGATTTTAAGGTTTTATTTTATTTTGTGTCCGTCGATGTTATAATACGATTTTATGTGGTTTTATGTGGTACCGAAAAAACGATAATGTATTTATTTTTTCAAATAAAATATAAATTTGAAGGTGTCATAAAATTTTGAAAAAAATATATATCGATTTTTATATCAAATTAAATATTTAAAAGTTCTTTTTTTTGTGTGTAATTTCTTTAATTCTATTTTTTATTATAATTTAATTTAGATTTAATAATGAAGTCATTTATTTTTAGTTTAATAATATAATCTATACTATATTATAAAATATTTGACAAAAACTCTTAAAAAAACAATTCTTTATTCATGAAGTATTGTTAATTAATGCATAATACTTAAAATTTAAGACTATGAGTAAATTGTGTGTAAGTACAACTTATTAAAGCTCTATTTTTAAATTTGTATAACTAACTACATATAAACATAATCAAATACATGACAAACATCTTATTTTAAATATAAAAAATCTAAAATATAATTAGAATAATTATTGAGTTCTAACTGAAACATTATTTTTATAAAAATAATATTGTTAATTAAAAAAAATGAGAACTTTTAAATAGTTAATTTGATATTAATATCAATATATTTTTTCAAATTTTTTATGATATCTTCAAATTTAATTTTATTCAAAATGTAAAATATTATCTTTCTCAAAACCACATAAACCATCAACATAGACAAAATAAAATGAAACAATAAAGATGTTTTTTGATGCATTCCACGAGTACTCTTCTAGTTCTTTTATAAAGATAATATTTAGTATTTTGAACTCAATAATTATTCTAAATATATTTTAGATTTTTTATATTTAAAATGAGATAGTTATCCAGAATTTGATTATGTTTATCTGTAGTTAGTTACACAAATTCAAACATAGAGCTTTAATAAGTTGTACATACGGACAATTTACTTGTAATCTTGAACTTTAAGTAATATGCATCAATAAACATTACATAAAGCTTTAAAAGTTGTTTTTAAGAGATTGAACCAAATGTTTTATAATATAGTATAGATAATTAACTTAAATTTCTAGAATACCAAAAAAAAAAAAGGAAAAGATGGGTGTTCATAAAAGAAAATGTATGTCCGGACTAGCGACATCGAAAGAGAGCCAATAGATTAATAGCAAAAGCATCGAAGCAGTCCCTCGAATCTCAGTATCTAAAAGTTTGTTATATGAATACTGAAATTGCATAAAATTGTCAGTTATGAATTTAAAGATGATGTTTGATGTAGATTTAGACTAGAAATGACCAGGAAAAATGTATTCCATAAAAAGATAAACAAACGAAGATGCTCGAGATAAGATAATACAAAAATGAGGAATCAATTAATAAATTTTCAATTTTCAAAATAAAATAAAAAGAAATCAAATATTTAAAATAAAAAAAAATGCATTTCCCTCCACGCCACGAAATGTTGATTTGAAAATGAGTCAAATTTACTAATTGTTAAATGGATTTAAAACAAGTTACTAAGTATTTGGGATCATGTGAGATCAATATGTTTTTGTAAGATCTGTGAGACCACTTCTTTATATTTGAAGCTTCACAACAAATCATTTGTGTTACTTTGTTTTTGCTGTGAAGGTTCGGATTTTTTTTATATTCATAGCGTTTTGTTGTGAAGTTTCATGTGTAGAAGGAAAACTATTTTTCTTACAGTAACGAACGATTTGTTAACTTTAAATGACGTTGACTATATCACCGACAACACCAATTCTCGGCCACCTGCTCCATGTTCTTTTGCCGTTCAATTCAGAGGTTTAATTCAAGTCCTCTCATGACTATTGAAGCATCTGTCTGATTGTTAATCTCGGAGTCACATAAAATGATGGGTTGTTTATCAAACGCTTATTGGCAAAATCACTACTTTCGTTACTTTATCAGATAACATTATTGGTTGTCAGTAAGAGTCTTTTAACCAGTAAGTTTTACCGGATAAGAGTTTTCTCCCTATACAGGTAAGATTCTATATCCTCTTAACAGGAAAGATTCTACATTCTCTCACCGGAAAATATTATAGGTTTATGTTATGTTTATCTAGAAAATAAGTGACCTGATAAACATTTACCCGATAAATATTTGATAAATAACCTGTAACAGTTGAGATAAGGGAGATATATATATATATATATATATATATATATATATATTAATTTTGATATTTTTATATAAATGATAACCAGTTTAAAATTGAGAAACATAACCAGTTATTTAATAACATAAACATAAAAAAGATAGATCATTAAATTCTTCTCATGCCTTGCCATGGCGTACAAACGACAGAATCGCCGTCTTCACTTTCTTAACCCTATAACCTTTCCTAAGTCCACCGCCAAAGCAGAGCGTCGACGTCGGAGAACCATCACCACCACCATGTTCACCGTAATCTTCCTCCAACCCAAACTTCACCGCCGACCTCCTCCGCCTGACCTCCGCCTTCCTCTTCGGAGTTGACTGTGACGAATGCAGATGCGACGATGAGGAGGAAGAAGAGGAGGATGAGATAGAACAAGATGAAAACGACGACGGTGCCAGCGCCGCCCTGGTTTTCCGGGAAGAACCGAGAAAAACGGTCCGAAGAAAACCGGATCTTTTCGATGAATGTTTATTCAATTGGTGGTTTTGGAAGGAAGGGGGAGGAGTGAGAGGAGGAAGAGATGATTCAGTGAGTGCGTGCTTAGGGGTACCTGGGTGGGACTCCCACATGAACGGCACAGATCCTGCTGATGCATCTCCATAATACAATACTCTAAATGATGGCTCATGATGATCAACTCCATTGTTGGTACCTTCTTGCTGCAGTTGGATTCTCAGTGCTTTAGATGTCGTACCTTTGGCTTTATGCATTGTACCTTTGAAATGCTACAAATAAAATGGAGTAGATTTAAAGAGAAATCAAAGCTAGCTTTGCTTCGTGGTTATATGCATTCATGAATATATATATATCTATACTATATTATAATGCATTTGGCTAAAACTCTTAAAAACTCTTAAACTCTTAAACTCTTAAA